AAATCTGGCCCTGAATCTGTAACATGTATACAATTTTAGGTAAATCTTATATCAGTTTTTTTTTAAATATACTTTATGCTTCAGATTGATACAAACATGGAATAATCCTGTTGAAGTATTTACCTTAAACGTCGGCATAAAATTATCTCTAATAATTTTAGTTGCACCAAAAGAAGTCATTTGAAATGCCGAATTGTATTGTTGAATATGACTCAGAAAGTGCTTCGACGCTTGCGATGTCCCAAAAATAAATGAATACAATGGTTCGGGTGGAGTTTCTAATGCTGGCAATCTCACTTTGCCATTAGCACAACACATGCCGGGTGTTTCACCTCGAAAGTTAGCCGCATCACAATGTGGACATATTGCGTCCATCATTCCAATGTATCCATACATACTATAATTAATCTGACTGTTGTAATTAAAAGCAGCACGCATCATTTCAGCCAAAACAGCACGACGTATTCGTGATGGCCGTGCAAGATTCAGTACAGGTACTGGGTTAACAAATCTATTGCGTGCATTACGTTCACGCTGCGATGCATTAGCTTGTGCGCGTTCATCTGCAGTCTGTGATCGTCTTAGTAATGCCACATCATTTGCATTACGCGTTCGCCGACCTATATTTGCTCGTCTGGCTGGTGGTATTTTTCCCGTATGCACATATGTTTTCGCTTAAAAATCGAAAAAAAAAATTAGAACAAAAAAAAAAACAAATTCCCAAGAAGCTGTCGCATATGATGCCATGTGAAATCATATACGGCAACTTAGAAAAGTATACATAAATTCAGGACTCACCGTTTGTATGAATGCACTGCAAATGCAATTATGTGAAAAGAAATTTATCGCTGATAATATGATTTAATCAAACCACGTCCAAAATGAATTGACGGCATGAATGACATAACAACGTGCTTGTCCTGTCAACAAAACTTAAAAAAAGTTTCTGTGAAAAAAGTTTCTATTGAATTCATTTATTACAAATAAATGTGACAAATGAGGAACCGCTCGACCGATTTTGTGCAAACTTCACATAAACCATCTACTAAATATGCCGACCAAATCCTAAGCATTTGGTTTGGATAGGTGAGCCCGTTCTTGAGTTATGGAATTACAACGAAAAGTGGCATTGATTTTTATATATATAGATTAACTAAAAAAATCAAACATATTGTAAAATAACGTATTCTGTTCTGTAAAATCTTAGAAAATTAGATTAATTATAATGAGATTTAAGATTCTCGCGAGTTTTATCTCGTCTGTCCGTGATCACGGTTGCTGAAAAGTAGCTGAGGACTATATAGTTTTTTACAAAAATAAATTGACGTAGTATAATCCGAAAAATATTAGTTTCTTTTAAGATTAATGTGATAGTGATAGTGCCATATTAATGTAAAATGTATGTACATCATTTCTAAGTAAATTAATCAAGATGTACTATTAATTCTATTAGTACTATGTTATTGAACAACCGTTCCTAGACGTCGACACTGTGAGGTCGTGAGGGAAGAACTATTCTGAAAGTTTGATTACACACTTAACATTACAGTTCCTAAGTCGTGTAGAATTAAATAGGTGAATGAAATACATTGACGAAAACAAAAATACTATTTGAAATTATTAACATTTAAAGTTCTCATACTGTTATATTAGTTTTTGCTACGAAATTAAAATGAGAGAGTGTAATCCTTATTACACTCTCTCATAGACTTTTCTATAGAGTAATTGGCAAGGAGATTAAAATATAAACAACTCCGAGAACATTTAGTTTGTTTATTGATTTCGGTAATTGAAAAACTTCACCAGAAGCGTCCGTGTTACTGAAGAACTTTGTGATCCAGATGAAGATTGGAAAATGATTTCGAAGAGTTGAGACGATATATAGAAATACGTTTAAACTTTGATTTATAAGAACAGTGAACTGTATTTCCATTTCCTGGTATTTTTTTTTATTTATTTTTTTTATTTTATTTTAGGGAAACAAACAATAAGATAAACTTAAGGGATATGATAATACAAAATTACATATATCAGCTAAGTTTCCACTGGTAATGAGATACATATTATTAAAATTAAAAAAAGACTAATCAAAGGAATCAAACATTAAAAACGTATACTGACGAATTTCTTCGGCAGTTATGAATAAAATCTAACATAAATATAATTAAACGAAACAAAATTAAAAAAAAAAGAAGTAACAAAACACATTAAACAAAATTGAAGGCATTCATGGCTACATCGGTTAGTTAAATTACAGGCAAAACATTTATACACGTCAAAACACACTATGAATTGATACATAAATTAATCTTATTAACTTTATTTTTAAAAGAATACACTTTTCGAATAAAACATATATCAATATCCGAATAAACTTCATAATAATTTTGGCAGCTACCATATAAGAAGATATTATTAGTACTTTTCGTTTTACAAATCGACACATTAAATAATGGTTTATATCTAAAATTTATTCGTGGACAATGAAATTCAATATGAGGCAATTAGAAAGGTGAATCTACGAAACTGTTAATTATTTTATATAAGAAAAGTTGGTCTCTAGCTTGTCTACGTAAAGTAAGAGGAGACAAGAGTTGTATTTTAGCAGAAGACACAGCTCTACAACACATGTGTTTGTAGAATTTTCTTTGAATGGAGTCTAATTCATTTATATAAGTAATCTTTATTTTTATTGATCTCTTATGATCGCCGTAAGAGTAAAAGGTAATAAGTATTATGAGAGCAATATTTATATGTTATATCTTGATACAAGTCTCGTTTTCAGTGTTTCCTATGTGAGTTCACAATTGTGAAACAATTTTAATAAACATTATAATTTTGGTGATGTTTTTGTTATAACAATTGTACCTGAGTTAGCTGATCCACTTGTTTAAAAATGAAGTCTTGAATAGGAACAATCTAAACACCTTTGTCACTTTTGACTTTTGTCAACAAACTGGGGTATTTAAAAGAGCAATTAGTGAAATACTATTAGACACGTGGAATAAACATGTAGAGTTGGAATGCATAATATGAATTTCAAAATACTCATTGATTATTATCAGGGACTATAACTAATAATATATCGAAAAAGTAAAGTAATCACATTATTTTTAAAATAATACACAATTATTTCATGCTTATTAGAAACTGTTAAACCTAAATAGAAAAGCTTACTTTCCTATTAAACAACATATTCTATTTTAATAGAATTGACACCCAAACAAATGGCAAAAAACCACAAAGAAACTTTTAAAACGTATTTTAGAATATTGATGTGAAACAAAGAGTTAAAATATAAAGACCAGAATTCAAACGAAAAAACCCAAACTACATATCTAATAGTCACAATAAACATGATTTAAAAGAAATGAATTCTAATTACTGTTTGACTTTTTTCCAATAAGAATTGATAAAAATATAGTTTTGTTTATATGAATTTTTTATTTATTTAATTCTCCTTAAAGCAAAATATTCTTATTAGATTCGAAGCAACAAAAATGTAATATGTCCAGCTCTCGGAATTATGAGCACTAAACGTAGAATTTTAATAGGAAGAAAATTCTTTAACTCAAAATTTTATTATGTACATATAATATATAAAATTTTGATATTTTTTGATGTTGAGATGTTTAGTTCTATCATTTTTACCAATTATCTTATCTGACTCACAATTATTAAAGACTCTAATACATTATAATGTCCAACAGTCATTTATTTTGTCACTCATTTGTCAAATCAAACACTTCGTGTGAAAATAAAAAATCATCTACAAATTTATTATATACTAGTTTTTGCCCGCGACTTCGTCCGCGTTAGTTTGGTCAAGAGTAATATATGTAGGTATAGCTGACCAGGCGAACTCTATTCCGTCTTAGAGGCCATAAGTAATCAGGTTTTTCCTGTTTCAATCGAACAGAATGATTGACATATTAGTTAGTTGTCAAATCTAATGTCAAAAAATCGTTTGTATGGGAAATAGAAAAGGGCTGTATTTAGGGTTTTCCCGACAATTATTCAAATTTTTCTCACCTTTTAAACCTTTCCTGGACTTCCAGGAGTATTTCAAGACTAAAATTAGCCAAATCGTTCAGCCGTTCTCGAGTTTTAGCGAGACTAAGGAACAGCAATCCATTTTTATATATATAGAAGATAAGATATGTTATTTATATAAAACAGTTAAATTTTGAATGATTGATTTAGAACAAAACTGTTTTTACTTTTTCTTTTTGTGATTGTTTTATAATTTCTATATATATAATATTATTTCTAGTGTGACCTCAACCTTATAATTATCACCTGAGCCCTCAACATATCTTACTAATAACACGTCGGGACTGTTGTTACTTTCATCTTTTTCGTTTCCATTGTAACGTGAACTTAATCCATATAACAATAGAGTTATTAAAAACCGAAGGGCGTCCGTTTCCCTCAAATCCCCGAATTATCCTCAAAACCGTCCCGTGGCATGCGTCATTATAATCATCCTATAATGACGTAATTATATAATAATGGAACCGTCAATCATCACTCGGCTCGTGGATCAATGGTGACGTACTCTCTGTGTCATCATTATGATGACGGAAACGGTGTGTGCTCATTTATTGTTTGTTTAACAAACTAATATTTTTTACGTATGTACGTTAGAAATGAAAATAATATTTTTCGGATGTACTACGAGTATGAGACTTTATTTTTGGTAAAAACTACATACTCCCGACGTTTCGGCTACTTTTCAGAAACGTCAAAAGCCGATACGATCTCATGAAACTAATATTTATCCGAAAATAAGAGTTTCATTTAAATAAATATTATGACTCGCGAAAATCATAGATCTCATTAAGTACGTTACAACACAAACATCTCTAACAATTCAATTATAGTCATTTCTCTTCTTTAAGAAAGTAATTAAATGGCAGTACTATAAAATATTTCAAATGTACTTGAAGACAATCAAAAAGCAATATATATTAGCATTTGTTTGTATTGCAAAAAATAAATCAGAGTATAGGTGATTTATTTGAGGTTGCTAGTACTGGTGGAGCAGCCTTTAACAAACAACCGCTCAGAGCCGGCTGACGATTTAACCGACCCTTGACCCTCTTAAGAGATTCTAGAGATCTACACGGAATAATAATACATAGGACTTATATGAAATAAATTTATTGGATTTAAACATTTTTGTTTATCATCGTATCTAATGTTATAAATGCGAAAGTAACTTTGTCTGTCTGTCTGTTACGCTTTCACGCCTAAACCACTGAACTGATTTTAATGAAATTTGGTACAGAGATAGAGTTAACCTTGAGAAAGAACATAGGATTTTTTTATCCAAGACTTTTGAAAGGTTCTCTTGGAAACGCGTTATAACCGAACTCCACGCGGGCGAAGCTGCGGGCGGAAAACTAGTTAATATATGTAACTGAAGTGTCGCAGTTTATTTAAACATACGGAACCATATTAATATTTTAAACTCGTCTCATTCTCAGTCGAGTCACGTTTTGGGTGAACTCATTCCTTTTCGTGTTTCAAATTAGGTGTTACAAAGACCCCCGGGGAGCAGTTCGTCTAGCTTACAGAAGAACTGCTTACTACATACTAAATATACACCAACAACATGTTTTATAACGAGAAAAAGATTTTATATATATAAGTTTATATGTATTTATTCAAATCCATAAGAATATTATGGCTTAGTTAATGTTACACATATATTACAAAGGATTAATATTAAACAAAATATTTTTTATTAACATTTTATAATATTATAATATTAAATTTAAGTTAAAGGAACAAAAAACAGGAATGCTCGCTACCTCCTTAGTGTACATTTAAACAAACTTCTCTCATCTAATTCATGTGAAACAACTTCTTCTTTGTTATTGTTTTTTCTATAAAATGTTTATAACACTTCCACTATTTGATATTTATATAACGAAATGTAAAAACACTCTAAAATATGGCTAGAGATATATTAGTTTCATTTAAATGAATACTCGCGAAAGTCTAAATCTCATTAAAGATCTTACTATACTTAGAAGATAAATGACGCATTTTAAAATTTGTACATGATTATTTCTCTCATAAAAAATACACCAAAAGGTCTTAATAAAGAGTTACAAAAGAACAATAATATTTTATCTTTGTTGCTGAATAATAAAATATATATTTACACGATAAAACATATTAAATGTAAGTCAAATACATTATGAATGTAAGTGAGTAGTGATGTATATCCTCGTATAATATTAACAAGTATAAAATACGCGGTAATCCTGTTTGTTCGTCCATATTTCAGTATTAAAGTTTTATAAAACTCTTTTAATAATTCAAAGGATATTTCATCACAAAACCAAACTCGGCCTCCATTGAAATGTTCCACTTAATATATTACGGTCATAAGAACGTACGACCACGAAACGAGAGGATACTCACGATCATGTTTATGGACAATTATTTTATGAACTATTAATGTAATTTATGTCAGTTATTTTCTTAAAATAATTAGTATGAATAAATAATGTTTAAGGATATACTACGTGTTTCTTAGTGTTTTAAACAATATACTCAGAATTTTTTTGCCGGTTACAAAGTAACCGAAATGTCGGGATTATTAATATAACATGGAAGTTTTATTTAAATGGATACTCACAAAAGTCTTAGATGTCTTTCATCAGTATGCTTATTACAAGTTTTGCACTGTCACACTACACACGAAGCACATCTCCTTCAATAATGCTAGAACTTATAGCATAAATGAAGTATGAGATTTAAGAAACGCTTCCACTATAAGTGTACCCGCTACCGCTCGTGTATCCGCTCGTTCCGCGGCTTGATGGTGGCTGGTGAACTAAATATTAATCCTTACTCCGCCTGTGTGAGAACATTAAACAATATTATGAATACTTTACAGAACGGATGTTTGTTTGTTGCGAATCCCTTCGACTCCGCGATTGCAAAAAGAGAAACATATTTTTTATAACTTGTATGTTACAACAAAGAATTATCCTCGCCCTGAGGAGATTCTGTTAAGTTTAAACAATTACTTATTTTATATCAACTAATAAAGTGAGTATGTGTGTCTGTCTTTGTTAATAAATATTATATAGCTACAAAACTATTAATAATTCATTTTCCGTCTAAAGTGTATAAAATAAAAGATAAATCCCACCTTCCGTGTAATAAATTTCTACAATTTATAACTGGATAGTTTATTTAAGACACGTATTAGAAGTCATTTTATATTTAAACCTCAATATTTTTTTTTCGGAAAAAGCCCAAATCATTATACAAAATACGAATCGTTTTACGTTTCTCATTAAAAACATTCGTTAATACTATAATGTGAGAGTATTTATTAATGAGAAACTGTTAACGCTCCGTATGTGGTGACGATGCCAACTTATCACATCAATTTTTATTATAAAAATCATCAAGATAACACATCTCTGTATGTATAAAACGTTTATAGAAACATGTTCACACATCGCTCCAACAATATTTATGTCATACAAATGGCTTATAATAATATACATTTCAATAAATATAATTTAAAACTAAACTTAGAGTCGTAGTGTCAAGGACCTCACAGAATATTATAAAGAATACGATTATTGAAACTATGATGGTACTTAGAGAATTATTACCAAAAATATATATTTTTAGTAAATAAAAAATCTGTGTGACGTCACTCGTGTTTAATTCATAATACTTATTCCGTAAATCCAGACGTTCCTCTCATTAAAATCTGTTACCATATAATGATGTAACATAATACACACACACACACTATCAGTAGCTTGTATTTGTTTTCCAAAATTATGTTAATGCTTTAACGAAATATTCTTTTTTTACAAATGATCTTAGTTATATGTTTAATTTTAATTGCTGTAATTTACTAAAAAATCATTTTTTCCCTTTTTTTGTTACTGTTTACAATGAATGGATAAAAACGTGGATAGTAATCATTCTAAAATAAGTCGTCTATTAAATTTCTCTTTACGAAGGGAATCTTAGTAACAGGGTGTATAAATCATTGAGTTTATAATTAAACATAATAGATAGCACCTCTTTCGCCAGCCCTGAGAGTTGAGACAAATTACATAAAATAAAGTCTTTATTAAACATAGTATTAATGATCTCATTTCTCGTTAACTCAGTCTTAGAGACACAGGCTGTTACAAGTAACGGCCACCGCTTACTGGGCCGTATACTCTACTATGAATTATATTGTCTCTAAAGATCTCGTGATTTATATGAAACATAATGAAAATATTTTAAATATATAACGAGATTATTTTTAATAAGCATCACCAAAATTATAGTCGTTTATATTTAAATTTTGTTTGTATGTTAGTTACATAAAACTAAGAAATTAATTTCAATGATCAAGAATGCTTTTCACTAAATTAGTAAAACAACGAGACATACTAATTATTAATTATTATATGCAAAATGAAATACAAAATCATAGCAAAGAATTAAGAAATAAATGGAATATCACACAGAACTATTTGAATACGAGTTTATATGATAATGATGAATTTATTTTCATACATTTTCATTTTACAATAGGTTTAATAACTTTCGTAATCTCTATAATATTACTTTATTAAGTAAGGGGTGAGCAACACAAACTTAAACAATAATGAATTGTAATGTCTAAAATTTAAGATATTTAAATTTAATATGTTGTTTTGATATTAAAATTCTCGTGATTTCAATCTATCATACATATAATACATAGAAGAAACGAATTACATACAAATCTCTTCAAAACTGCCTGTTTCGTCGGAATTAAATCCCGCGTAATAAACAAAGAGACTTCATTATACCTACCACGAGTTTGAATATTCACACTACATACGACGCGTTAACAGTTTATCATCATGGGAACATTTGACTGAGTATTTACAACATAGTATATTTTATATGACAGTTAAAAACACCAAACAGAACCCACCACAGTGCACAGGTCCACTTGTTATTTGTTAATAATAAAATTAGTTTTATAATGACACGTTTAGTAATGGTTAATATAATATATTGGAGAGTATTGTGAGACTCAGAGTAACAATATATGAAGAGAGATCGGTACACACTCGGAACACAATGGAGGAGAAGGGCGTTCATATAGAAAGAATACGCATTCAATGAACATCAATGAAACAGAATTTGTAGCTAAGGTCAGTTTAATGAAAAAAAGATACTACTCTCATTCACGGAGCTACCTGCCGCAGACGGCGAGTATACATTACTGACACACACACACCACAAACACTTCGGACAGGAGTCGACAATGGGTCTAAACAGATTTAAAGACTCCGCAAAAAATAATGAATGAACGTGGATATGAATGAAGGTGCCTCAGGCAGACGGAGCGGCGCGGGCGGACCTACGGACCCGACGGACCTATGAGACCCAGCGGACCAGACAGACCTAGCGGGCCCAGCGGACCCAAGCGAGCGAAAGTCTTTGTCACGATAATCTGATTTTAATACTGTTTGGTGATAATACTGCTGTTTGTGGAACTGGTTTACGGTTGGCAATCTGGTTCAGCTGTTTTTAAATAATCAACGGTTCACATATTAAAATACTTATTTTTATTGTCACATTAAAGTATGATATTCACGCTGTAATATATAATGTGCTGTCCGAAATATAGAAAGGATGTATTAAGTTTAAACTTTATATGTAAAGAGAAAGTTAATTAAAAATTTGGTGAAACCAAAATCTATCGATGGTCGTATACTATTAACTGGTTTGTAAAAACTCAAGAACATAAATCTTTATTAGGTCTCGTTAAAGAGTAATAAATCTGAGTAATAGAACATGTACCTGAAATAAAATAGATATAAAGAGTATATAGAATTATTATAATCTTGTATTATAATGAATACCATTTAAATATATCTGTATTGTTATATGAATATTCTTTAAACTGTGTCATTGTGTGTGCTCTAACATGCGTCGCGTACATAATCTCCATGTTGTGTACAACTCCGGGATTCAGTAATCTTTTAATCCCGGGAAATCCCATTAATTCCGGAAACACGTCAACGTCAACAGCGAGTGTGCTTTTCGTGTTTTCGACTAAATTGGATTTTTATGTTATTCAATAAAAATGAATACAAAAACCTCTGAACCTCTCGTTGAGTTAGTAAAGTTGTAAAACGATGAATATGTTCACCATTTATATCACTATTATAATTGAACTAAAATATCAAAATATTCGTATTACTTTTTCAAACTATTTCTTACTTATTCGCTGTTATTTTTTTGTACACATAATGTACAATCATTCAAGATAATTTCACCCAATGATTACCGTCAAAGCGGTTTTTTTTCGCATCAATCTACCCGTGAATCCCGCACGATTCCTTCCATGTGTTGTGTGTTTGTTAAACATGACGTCAACTGGCTCCTCGTCCTTAACCCTATCTGTTACCTGATGATACAAAGCTCCCTCCATCCCTTCTCTATTGTCTCGTCTCCAGAACAGTCTTCAATCTCTCGCGAATACTCTGATAGTGATCGATCGAGATCGCCGCCTCTTTGGTGTTCGCCGAAACTATTTGTTAAACTCTGCGTACAGACGAGTTAACATCAAAGGGGATTTATAAAGAAAAGTTATTTGTAAATTGTTCAATACAATATATACTGCTCGTGATGTATCATGTTATATATTTTTAATTTAATTTCTAATCTAATCTCTCACAGTCCGTCAAACAAGTATCAGATACGTATGTAAAATATCGCAATCATAATGATAGTCGAGTATTTCTTTAGGAGGATCTTGTAATATCTGTCTTTATCGGTCCTCTACTAACTCACAGTGATATATTTTAAAATTTAAACTATGCTTGAGGTAAATGTTATGATCATCAAACATATATATGTTTCTCTTACAGATACTTAAAGTAACAACTCAATGAACTTAAATCTTTTTGAACGTAACAAAACTGTCATATAATGTAGTTAATTGTCGTTGTAATACACAAAACTCATTTGAATAATACTTCGACACGGTACACAGGCTCACTACAACCCCTACACTCAACTATTGACCCTAAATATATTTTAAATAAAGTTCATTTTTTACAATCATTTTTTATTACACGTCTGTTAATATTGTGCACACAACCCTACATGTGTTATGTTTTAATTGCGGCCTCGGTCTGCTGTTTGTCTCTTCTATAAACGTGGTGATTGTTATTTACGAGTCTTATAAATCAAGTCCCGCACATTAACATACGGCGATGACGACTCATATTAACATATTGATACAAACAAACTAATTATGATACTTTGTTCCTTTGTTACAAAAGAAATTATTGAAATTACGAGCTGAATGAACAACGTTGTTCATACCAGTACAATAAAAAAATAATACAAAGACTAATAATGTGCAGTACTGTTTAAATATACAAAAATATATTCTAGTCACGCACACACACTCACATTGAGGAAGCGAAATTATACACCGACCCAAATATTATTAAAAATATGCAAACTTAATTCTAGTATTTCATATTTTCCTCTGACTCTAGACGAGTTCTCAAAATATGTTCCTCTGAAGGTTTTACAGTATAAGAATATATTATGTAAAACGTAAAAACATTAAAAAATATATATAAAAAAGTAAAGAGTTACTTTTTCTATGTTTCTTCTTTACTGACATAATTATATAATAAAACACACTTAATAAAGATTCACACGAAATACATATATCGACAATAAATATTATAACAATTAAAATATAAATAATAACTTAATATTAAAGACATGAAAATTGATATTAAATTACACAATAAAGTTATGTTTTTCTAATATAACTGATCTCACAAACGTTTTGAATTTACATTCGGCACAAACTTTACTTAGATCGAGAATATGGAAAGTTTGTTATCTAAACACAACATTTAATAGTAATAGTAATAAAAATAGTGTATATTAAATATTATCGTGTGAGTTCAAGTTATTATAATATACTTAATGAACTCCTCACATGTCCTCTGCAACAGATTTACATTCTATACATTACATTCCAGTGTCTGTACTATAGATGAATTGAGAACGTCTTTTTGTTGCTGATTTAAAATTATTCATCTCATAAGAAAAGGGCGTAGTCTTTGAACCCATGCTGCCGACACTCCCATAGAATGGTACAGATGCAAGAGTTACACACACACGCGCACACACGCGCACACACACACACACACACACACACACACACACACACACACACACACACACACACACACACACACACACCAGTTGACAATACTAAAAAAAACATCTTGTATTCATAAGTGTTTATTCAAAACGTTATTCTCAACAAAATATATATATCACTTATTATTATTTAAGGGACGTTTAAGTACAGTCCCTCCCAGTCATTGAATAGTTTGAAATAATCCAAATAATCTATATTAAATTAAGTACAATAAACGTATTTACTGTACAATTACATTTATTAAACGTGTACTATGAATGAAGTCAATAGTAAGTGACACAGTAATGTGTGTTATAATAAGTCACAGAGGAACCCCGGCCCCGGCCCGGCCCGGGTGAAACAGTTCGTGTGACAAAGGAGTCTATAATTACACGATAAAAATCTCATATAGCGTCGGTTAAAGTGTAATAAAGTTAGTATGAGGTAAGTGGAGACGGTAACATTAAACTACTGTCGGAGGTGTTCGGCTTACTGTTACAAAGTGGTCGCCGCGCCGTCTCAATACAGCTTTTTATTATTTAACATACTGTGGGGAGCGGAGACGATTTGATTCCAATACTACGAGTATATACACAAACACATTATAAAATAAAGTTATTTAACTCGATGAATGAATACAACGTGTTTTGTGTAGCTTTTTATTTCAGTCAATTTGTTTTATGATTGTCAACATTAATCTTCAATAAATGTTATAAGGACAAATTGAATTGATATTTTATTTCGTTTTGTTTTATAATCATATATTTATATGTGTGTTGTGTTTAGTCGATAAAGTGATTAAAGTTTTAAAACTTACCCAATATATTAATGAAATCTAAGACATTCGCGAGTATTCGTTTAAATAAAACTAATATTTTAAGACGAGATCACATTTGCCCGTGATCACGGTTGCTGCAAAGTAACCGAAACGTGGGAAGTATGTAGTTTAAAATAATAAAAAAAAGCGTATGTAGTAATCCGAATATATTACTTTCATTTCAAAATATAAATATTATTTACAATTTAATTGAGCTTTACCACATTTTTGTTTAAACATCCCTATAAAGTAAATAACATTAAATATTTTAGTTTTATTATTCTCAATAACGTACGTCAGATATCAAAGTATGAATCCGTTGTTCTGAATCAAGAATTTGTTTTTGGTTAGCAGTAATTGGATGTTAAACAAATTGAAAATTCTGCTTGAAATATATACTATACTAGTTTACGGAAGCAACTTCGTCCGCATTAATTTCAAAATTGTATTATATGTATAACTGACCGGGCGAACTCTATTGCGATCTAGAGGCCGTAAATAACTAGATATTTGAACTTATTAAAGATTTCTTTTCTCGATCAAACACAATTAAGTAGCCTATGTTCGTCTCCTTGTTCGTCTCTCTCCACCAATTTTCATCCAAACCCGTACAGCCGTTCTTGAGTTATAAATAGTGTAACTAACACAACTTTCTTTCATATATATTATATATACTATCTAATATATAAAATTCTCGTGTCACAGTTTTCGTGCCCATACTCCTCCGAAACAACCTGACCGATTTTGATGAAATTTTTTGTGCTTATTCGGTAGCTATGAGAATCGGCCAACATCTATTTTTCATCCCCCTAAATGTTAGGGGTAGTCCACCCCTAAATTTTTTTTTTTTATTTTTTAGACAAAATTTTTAATTACTATTTTTTTATGATACAACGTACAAAAATACATACAATCCTAAATTTTCACCCTTCTACGATCAACCCTTATTTTTTAATAGCTATTTTAGTAATTTAATCATTTTTCATCTCCGGTCGATAACTGATCAATCGTCATTTAATAAGTTATCCCCGCCAGATATCTACAGGTGTCACTTCTGACCCAGTAAACAGCACGGAGTAGGGATGAGAACGAAGCCGGTCTTCTGTTTCTCTCACACAATTAGACTTCTCTCACTCCCTACACAGTTGTCGGCCATCGTTATTGTTTGTGCATCAAGTGTAGTAGTAACGTTGACAATTATTATTTTGCTAGCTCAGTGTAACTCTCATATTAACTATTAATCATTCCTAATCACTTCAAAACACGGAGATTTATGGCTTTAATAGGTAAACTCCAAAAATATAAATAAAAAAACGTAACAGATATTTCTTGATTATAGGGCGAAAAGAAGTTCGCCGGGTCTTCTAGTATGTATATAATATCTTTAGTCCTATGAGAGTAGACAATTGTATTAAGAGACGTCATGTTGTTCTTCAGTAGTCTGTTTGATCACCGCTGACAAACATCGCTCGACAAACGAAGGAGACTCCAAACTATTGGTTTATAAGTTAGCATTTAATATAGAAATGTGTTCGCTTGTTCTAATATAATGAACAGACTGACAGTTTATTGACCTTTGAGTAACTCTAAATCGTGATTCACTTAGCGATATATTTATCAAACAAAAACATTATTTTCTTAGCCATTCGCCAAAAAATATATTACTAAAATTATTTTTAACACATTTATATACATTTTATTTCTATATATCAGCCGTTTTTAGTTTTTCTTCTAAACTGACAACCTAAATGATAAAGTTATACCAATCAGACATTAGCCTATTAAATTAATGCATATTAAATAAATCAATTATGTGCTTGGAAGCAATAACCTGGACACAATGAATAGATCTGAATAAAATTATCTTACACTAATTTTTTCATGCTTGGTTCTCATCCAAAAACAATTTGCGTTAACTTTATTTCATATAAACTACTTAGAAATCTTTTTCTGATTGTAGTTAAACTAAGATAATGTATTTAGGGATACGCATAAAGTTTCTTGTATAAGCTAGTTGATAATATAAGTATTTTTTTATAATACAACATTGTGAGGACAATCAAACGGCTGAATGACTTCGACCGTTGACACTAATCAAACCGATACAACAAAAGAGTTTCTAAACGATGTAACCTTTTTGATGAGACTCGTGTCACACACCTGGACGAAATATGGATGTTTGAAATGTTACCCCGCCCACAACTCATGATACTCTATTTATTAAATATAATTCGTGTTCTCACGTAGTCTGAATCGTTTTACTTATATTTACAATTGTATAGATTTTATTTTATATATAAAAAACACAAAACACCTTTGATGTTATATTCTAGGTCTACTTAAGGATTTTATTCTAAAAAAAACTTTTATAAATTACAATGTATATAAAAATATCTCCTACAATAAATCAAAGCTTAAGGTATGTTTTTAGTACAAGGACTTTTTATATAGACCCAAATAAGTAGGTATACTAAAGAACATTCGAGAAACGTTGCAAAAAAAATCAGAAAATATCAAAATAACGCGATAAGATGTTCTGAGGTTGAGAGATGA